CTAGGCTTGGGACCGGCCTCGGGATTTTCTTTCCACGTCTGAGGTTGGCCTTGCATTGACTACGACCGGCCAGTAAGCTTGGAAAACAGGAAGTGCATGCCGCCTGGTTTACGTACTAACATAGAATTGATTCTTCTGTCACTGTGAGGAGCCTTTAAGCCGTTTGGCATCCCATAGATTTACAAGAAGGAAGACAGCAATTGAGGCTCATTGTTCCTAGTGCCCTCAGGTCAACTCTACTCCTCAATTGGCAATACAAAGATGTGCTCTTTGACGATTTGCGAGACGTTGTGGGAGCATGGTGTCGAAGAATTCAAGAGTACCTAATAATCCTGCACGGCCATCAACAGGGATGTGCAGGAGTCGGGTGTGGCTTCAAACGTTTTCTTCCCAACGCGTCACTCCTCTTCAACGGGCTATTGATACATTGAGGTCATTCCACTCATTGCGGTCATTGAGATCATTGAGGTCATTGGGTCCTTCCCTACTCCTTTGCGCCTTCTCACGGCTCACGAGGCTCACGGCTGTGCGAGCGCACGGAGCTCCAGCTCCAACAGGTCCATCTGCTTCAGGGGATAGTCCGAGACATCGGAGGCCGGGAACGCCTTTGTGATGAGCCAAGCCATCGGCACAGTCTCGAGCAACGTCACGAAGGTCATCCAGAAGCTCACCAAGCGATCCAGGTCCTTTGGGTGGGTAGGGTCCACCCAGCAGTTTCTCTCCGGAGAGAGGACGGGGACAAGGAAGGCGAACAGCTTCCCCTGTAAGATGCCCAATGCCACCATGAGCTTCACAGCAGTGAACTTCTTGGTGGTGTTCCAATTGCGCAACAAATCGTAGGTCATCGTGTACATGACAAAGAGTCCATACATTGCCAGCATGCCAGAAAGCTTCAATATTGGCTCGGACCATTTTCCCACGTCCCACATTTTGGGATCTAATGTTTCTTTCGCCCATAGGAAGTAAGCATTCATGAAAACTTGAACAAAAACGTACTGTCGCACTAGCCTGGACACCCACAGCAGCTGCTTCGCTGTAATGTGATGAGCTTCTGTGCAGCATTTAAAGCAGCAGCCAAAGGGTGGCACTGCAAAGTACTTCTGCGGCCCGTACTCCTGAAGAGTCTGGATGACAGTTCGGCGGGCGTCAAGGCTTGAGGCTGAGACCTCATCGGGACCTGGCTCTCGACGCTTCAAGGACTCCACTGAGACCAACATGAAGAGAATCACCATGAACGAATGGAGGGCGAACGCTTCGCTTTGGCCCATGAAGAGCTCTGCTAAGGGTCTCGCCAACGGGGTCAGGAGGGATGCCCAAGAAAAGAAAGCCCACACAATCGGAAAGGCCAATATGCCATGGTATAATGTGCGAAGCAGGCCAAGGGGTCTGGTGTCTAGCGACCGTGAGTGACGAATGCACAGCACGGCAGAAGCAAGCAGTGCCAGAGAGCCAATGGCGGCTGTCGTCACAAAGGTCGTGGGGTTCTCTTCCAAACAGCGGTGAATGTACGCGGGTTGCCGAAAGAACTCACGCTTCTCCCATTCCTTGGCCATGGGTCCCTGAGATCCCGATATCACTGCACAGCCGTCTTTGCACGGCCGCGACAAAATACCGAACGAGAGTAACGAGAGAGGCTTTCTGGAACTACAAGGTGTCGATCTAAGATTTGATAGACTACGGCTGCAAGCATCGGCAAGCAAACATTGGCATCACACTTCTGACCTCCAAGCACAAAGTCCCTAAAGCTGGTGTTCTGGACCCCAAACAGTTGAAACTTCATGTTGGGCTGGGTACAAAGTCCCAAGCCAACGTGCGCGCTACAGTTTGTGGAACGCAAAGAAAGAAACGTTGTGCGCCAGCAACGCTGGTAGTATCCCAAAGCCGCACCGTCGGCCTGCCAGTCTCATGTTCCAACGGTTCTGGCTCTGTGACAGCTTTACTCGATGCCTGTTCTTAGAGTCGCGTGCCTGAGCCGCATTGAAAATGCCCTACCTTTCACGGGCTTTGATGCGGGGCTCCCGAAAAGAGGGGAGCCCCTTTGGGGGGCTCTATTTTCAGGAACCCCCCCCGCCTCATATCTAAAAACCGGTCCCCACCCTTTGTGAAACTTGCGTGTGTTGCCGAGGTGCCGCAAGGTTGGGATGGCCATGCGCTGCAACACCTGCTCGCAAGGAAACCAAAGGAGCGAAAGGAGAGGCCGTCATCAAGCATCTCAGAGGTTGCAGAATAAGCTATATGTTGCATCAACAGGGGGGTTGCCACTTTCAAGACCTTTGCTTCTTCGTATCGCAAAAGCATGTGTTTTGCTCCGTCGTTTTGCGGCTAGGCGGCAGCATAAATATACTGCCCCGCCTGCTGAGTGGCACACTGACTTGAAGTGGATGGATATCGCTTGACAAACGTGTCATTCCACGGGCAGCAACCTCCCCCCCCCCCCCCCCGCCCGCCCCGTTGACATAATATGTTATAGAATTCAAGGATCTTCCTGTCCGACTCTGCACGCTATATGCTGAAACAAAATGGCACAGTATATTGTTTGCAAAATGTTCTTCATGAGTTCTACAAGTAATGGGAATATAAAACTTGAAGCAACTCAGTTGAGCCCTGCACTGCGACACATTTTTGGCCAACAAGCGAACCTGTACTTAGGAGCCAGGAGGGTAGAAGCTTGGCTGGGAAAAGAAAACCCGAGGAAACTGGTACATACTTTGCACCCTTATGCTTTTATAATTTTCAGTGGCTCGGAGCACCCCATCTTTGAACACCTTTCCAAGGGAAACCCAAGGCCCTTCGGAGGGCCCCCCCAGCCTCTGAACGGACTGGAAAGCTGCCCAGCCATCCTTGGGCGAGAGCTCGATGCCCTGCGCGAGCTGCCCTTGGACGCTTCCGAGCTTTTGGGGTGGGACGTAGTGTTCAAATCGCGCAGGCCTACTCATGACCGCAGATGTAGCCCAGTTATATACCAGAATATACCATGGCTGTAAGCGTCCCCAAGCTTGTCATAACCACTTGTATACCACTTGGGTGACCGTGACTACATGGGTTCTCCTTTTTTGGACGCGGAAAAAAGAACACATGATTGTCTGGCACAAGCGATCGAAACCCGTTCTTGGAACCTGTCAAGCGGGGGCGGAAAAGTAGTGAAGCACCATTGGGTCGAAACGGTTGCTTGAAGGAAACCACGGCAGGATGCAATATCAGCTTTCCTCTCTGACCTCATGCCTTCATCCAGACAGTTAAAAAAACAACAAAAATACTTCGCTTGAAGCAATCCCCACTCTCCACACTCACGAGCTTACGACCGTGAACACGGTTGTGTGAAGTCAAGCATGGTTTTCGAGTGGCTTGGGGCCTATGACTGCTCAACAAGCTTTGCGTTGAGAGCCTTATCCACCTGTCTGTGTGTCAAACTCCACTTGTCTGCGAGCCGATCTCGAGAACTCAAACATCGGTTCCGTTAACAAAAGCCAAGCCCCTTCCAAAAAGAAACCCGACGGGGGATTAAACGAAGTTGCGTGTTCACAACCCAAAGCAACACAAAAGCATCACCCTTTCCGAGCCTCAGGGTGCACTCAAAACACGAAGGCACCAACATGAAATGTAAACCCAACTGTGCGCCGGGTGGGACATTAAGCAAAACCAGACTGGCGAGCTGCTCTGGCGGGACACCGGCGGGATCCACTGGCGAATGCTGGCAAACCGCTCCGGCTCGATACTGGCCGGATACTCGGCAGGATCCACCTTCAAGGTATACTCAGCGCGATACTCGGCGGGATCCACTGGCGAGCAACTCTGGCGGGATACTTGGATCCAGGATTCTCAGCGGGATACTCGGCAGGATTCACTGACGGGTGGTCTGGTGGGATACTCGGCAGGATCCACTGGCGAGCCGCTCTGGAGGCGGCATCCACTGGCGAGCCGCTCTGGAGGCGTGGTGTAGAAGCATCGCAAACGCGGATTCCAACATAAAATCTAACAAGCCCTTCCTGTCGGGTGGGGAAACACATCCCTTTCATACTTTATGGGTAGGCACAGAATCCCAACCTGCAACGTTCGGAATGAGGTGAGGGTGTTTGTTGTTGGGATTTTTTGTTTGATTGTGTGTGTCTTGTCTCCGTTGTTTGTCGTGTAGCTAGGCTTATGGCTGTTATAATTAGTGTATGTTGGCCTTTGGAGTTGCTGTCTACTTGTGTGTTGTTTGCCTTGGAGAATTGGATCTTGGAGTGTTTGGTTCAATGCCTGGACCACAGCGTGCGCATCCTGAGGCAATTCCCGAACACCCGACATGCCATCAAGCAGATTTCACAGGCCAGGAATCTCTCACGTAGGGCAAGAATCGAGAACCTCCTGAGCGAATTGGGATACCACAACATACTGTTGCTTGCCACTAAGATGGTTTCCCCCAGCAAGTACTTCAGCAGGTTTATCGAAGCTTTGAGCAGAATCGTCCTAAGGAACAGGGTTGCCCCCAACGCCCAACAGAATGATGATCATGATGATGATGACGATGATGATGATGATGATGACGACGACGAAGACGAAGATGATGATGACGACGATGATGATGATGATGACGACGATGATGATTATGATGATAATGGCGACGATGACTATTATGATGATGATGACGACGACGTTATGATGATGATAATGATGATAATGATGATAATGATGATAATGATGATAATGATGATGGTGGTGGTGGTGGTGAAGCTGATCCTGGTGCAAATGCTGATGCTGATGACGATGATGATGATGATGATGATGATGATGATGATGATGCTGCGGATGATGATAATGATGATGAGGGGAAGCAGGAAAAGAACGGCGATGGTGATGATGATCGTGATAGTGATGGATGATGATGGTTGCTGACTCGATGATATGAATATATGATGGCAAACGCTGGTGAGCATCATGATGATGGATTGGTGCTGCCTAAAAACGGATCCGCTGAGGCGCTCGCACCCCAACGGGTGAGATACTTATGGGTGCGGTGCGGCCAGGGGCCCTAGGCCCGCGCCGAGCGGTTCACCGACATGAAGAGGCGCTTCACCACCTCGAGAGCAGCGCAATGTTTGGCCCTGGCTTGCGTTAAAGGGAAACAAACGAGAAAAACACCCACGTCAAAGGGAAGGAAGCGGGGTTGGAGAAGAGAAGCTGTATTCACCTTTCCTTCCTTGTTCTTGGCGACTGCCAGCAAAATGGAACCCAAAAAGGGGACCCATTGTCCAACAAAGAGACTCCTTTGAAGATGTTGTTTTTGGGGGGTGTCCATGTTAATTTGCCCCCCTCCCTGCAACATGGCTTTCTTGCTTGCTTCCCCTGGCAATCCCAAGGGCACAACATCAAAAACTGAAAGTGCGTTCCCTTGAAAACCGTCATCCAAAGTTCGAGGCTCGGAGTTGAGGTAAGGCCCCTTGGTCGTTGGGGGGCCTGAGGTTCGGATTGGCCATATGATTTCACACAGATCAGGGTGGTCTTTTGCGGAAATGTGTCCTAAAGTGGTGTTCCTCAACCAAGATTCAGCATTGCCGACCTGTCCACGTGAGTCGCAATCAACTCCTGGTGGTTCAAGGAGCCTACCCACAAAGAATGCTATTTGCTCGGTTTGGTTGAATTTGCCATTTAACCCCCCCTCAGATGGTTTCTACACGCTGGGGGTGCTCCATTTCTTCGAAACAGGCCCTGTTTGGGGGCGGGTTAAGGGAAACCAAATGGAAAACGTGAAAAACCATCATTTGTAGGATCCAAGTCCCTAATTTTGACGCGAAATGAAATCAGGATGACTCGTGACCGAACGTACCAACGCCGCCGAGTCGCGTGGAACTTCCCACACTTGATCCGCACCTCCGCGCAGTACCGGAACTTCCGGATCTCCTCACCTCGTGTCTCGTACCCCCAAAGTGCCTGTTGCTTCGGATTCTCTCCTCAAAGCCGAAACAGGTGCCTCATGGTCAAACATCTGTCGGAGGGCGGTCACGGCTTTCCTCTAAGCCACCCCAAAAGATGGTGCAAGAAAAGAACACCCAGATTCCCACATCAGATTCCCCGCGCCATTAGACCTGCGCATGATCGGCGGGCGATACACTCACTCGGGCGCTCAATGGGTTGCCGGGCCGGGCTTCTGCACTGGCGGCAGCTCCTCACCACCCAGCCTGGCAAGCCCTCGGGAGATTTTCAACATGGAAGTTCCATGACAACAAGGAGGATGGGTTCAGTTCCCTTCCACGCCCCGTCATATGGTTGTGGAAACAAACAAAAACGCTTTCTGTGATAAACAGAAAGAACACATACCTGTAACTTTGTCATTTTGAAGGGGCTTCCCACCACAGAAATGGCAACCCTGGGGCCCAAAGAAAATTAGCGTACCTGCCCACTTGGCGCGCAGTTTCCACCACACTATCCTGTAGCTTGTGATGCCTCAAAGGATTGTTTTTGAAGCCCATGCCTCCCTAAGCCATGCAACTGGTAATTCTTCCAAGATAGTTGCACCAGTTTATAAAGACATGACTTTGAAGCCTTTTAAAAGAAGAAATGGTGAATAATACAGTTTGTCGCCAAATAGCTCCCCCTCCCTTGAGAATCTGTGGCTTCTTTTGGCTTCCTTCCAAAGGGCCAAATGATACCGAACACATAAACATGGGCTGCATCTGTGGAGCCAGGAGTGCGCCAAAAACCCTCACAAGCAAGGGTAGAAGCTTGGCTGGGAAAAGAAAACCCGAGGAAACTGGTACATACTTTGCACCCTTATGCTTTTATAATTTTCAGTGGCTCGGAGCACCCCATCTTTGAACACCTTTCCAAGGGAAACCCAAGGCCCTTCGGAGGGCCCCCAGCCTCTGAACGGACTGGAAAGCTGCCCAGCCATCCTTGGGCGAGAGCTCGATGCCCTGCGCGAGCTGCCCTTGGACGCTTCCGAGCTTTTGGTGGGACGTGGTCTTCAAATCGCACTAACCCACTTACCCTGGTTGTAAGTTCCCCCGGTGTGTCATAACCAGGAACCACTTATATACCATTTGGGTGATCCTTCCCAAATGAGATCGAAAAGCGTTGCTTGGCACTTGTCAAATGGGTCCTCTGACCACAGTTCTGGGCGGAGTAGTAGCTACACCCCTTTGGGTTGAAACAGTTGTTTGACTGAACTCATGCCTTCAATGCACACAGAAGTCATATCGAAGGTCGACATGGGCGGCCTTCGGCTTCCGATTGAATAGACTTTGCTTCCAAACATGGGGGGTTGCCCTTTGGTGTTGTATAGTTTGCACAAGTTCCTTGAGTATCCCAAACTGAAATATTCGGAATGTGGTGAGGGTGTTTCTTGTTGGGGTTGTGTGTCTGATTGTTGCAGTATGTGTGGTGCTTGTAGTTTGGCTTTTAAGTGTTGCAATTAGATTAGTTTGGCCTTTCCCGCTTTGCTTCCTAGTTGTGTGTCTTTTGTCTCGGAGGGCTGGCTGTTGGAGTGCTTTGTTCGATGCCTGAATCAAAGCCTGGCATCCTGAAGCAACATGACCTTCAAGCGGATTTCACAGGCCAGAAATCACTTGCTGTTTGCCACCCAAATCGTTTTCCCCAAAGCGTATTGACAAGCATGAAGTCAAGAAACTCAGGGAGTGAGACAAGAAAAGTGGTAGTCGGAACTGACAAAGAACCGCCCAGGGAGTAGTCGGACCTTCCATGCGCCCCTCTTTGGAGGAAAGCATGAGAGTCATATGCTTCTTTGTGGTTGAGTCGGGGGCAAAGGGATTCTCAGAGATTCAGGAAAACCCCAAAGAAAGGGCGTGTACCTCGGGCACATCTGGACAAACCTGTTCAAGGCATAGCCTATCCACCAACCCCTCCGCAGAACCCACCGCCCTCAACCTGAGGCATGGTTGCCACCGCCCCATGGAACCTTGAACCTGTTGTCCAGTTCTGTGATACCAATGGAAGGCCTTCCAAATGACTCAGTCTTCAAAGGAGAGGCTTCCCCGTTACAGTGGGAACCGCCCCACCCCTAACACGGCCCTGGACTACGATGGAGTTCCTGGCCGGCCTCCTTGAGCTGCTGGCACTCGGCATCTGTGAGCTCCCCACAGCTCCTCAAACACAAAAAGGCGGGTGGGAACCTGTGACAAGAGAAGCCGAGTAAGTGAGCTACTCGAAAGGGGAACCATTTCTTGTGTGGGGTGATTCCATTTCTAGAGGGGAATGCAACAAACCAAAAAATTGCTTAGAGGATGCCAGGGTCCCTTCGCTTCAACTTCCTGCGTAGGGTTTGGACGCGAATCTGTGGAGGCGCCATCAAAAGTGTAACAGGGCAAGATCTGCAAATCCACAAGAAGCGCAGCTACGCATGTTGGTTGACAACTGCTTTGGGTTGAACAAGGCCCTGAAATTTGCAGGGGTTTCGGAAGCCGGAAACTTTCTTCTCCTGAGCACCTGGATGTTCCGGCTGCATGCTCGTCTTGCACAGGGGTGTGCAGCCCAACTACTCAAAGGGTATCGCTGCCCCCTTTTCAGGTGCCTTGAGAGTTGTTGGGGGCGGAATCAAAAAGTGAACCAACCTGCACAACCACTCACTCAAAACTTGGCCAACAGGCACCAAACCGCCTGTTAGACCCAGAAGCTAGAGAGGTTGAGCTTGTAGAAAATGCAGGGACGCTTAACTCCTTTGAGTCCATTGCGCAGCCTTCTCCGGGGCTACCCTCTCTTCAACCCCGAGGCACGCAGGCACCTCTGCAACCAGCTCGACTGTTCGCGCTCCTGCCGTTGCTGCTCGTCCAGCCTTCATACCAGGCGCGGTAGGTCTTGGCAGCGTGGCCTGACCCGAAAGCGAGGCAGAGGCTTGAGACGCAGGCGTTTCGCATATACTTGGCTCTGGTACCAGGCTTGGCCAATTTGGGGTCGCTAAGGACAAAGGGAAACCCAAAAGGAAACCACTTTGAAGGGTTCCCTTTCGGCTGCTCAAACTGAAGGGTTGGCTGATGCCAGTCAGAATTCCTGGCTGGAGTAAAGATGCCGCTGCCGAGGTCCGGCGGCTTTCCCAGCAATTTGGGGTGATTGAGCGGCACTTGTTTCAGAAAAAGCTGGCAAAGACCCATGTTCGGCAGAAGCTACACCTGCCCACGTTGTTGTGGATGCTAGAAGAGAGACCCCTTTAAAGGAGCACGTCAGGTTCCATGTTTGTCCGTGGTGTCCTTTTGGTTTCCCTTTAAAGTCATCTCATCTACTGGATGCCTGTTGCTAATTGCTCGAAATGCTTGCCACTTAGATAGGAAGCGGGTGACACACACACCACACACACGTTTCCGAAATCCCAAAGGTTGCGACAAATGATCCCCTACAGAGTAACATGAACCCCAATCCCCCGCCCCCGATTAAGCGATTTATCAAAAAGAAAGAGCCCAGTCATGCCCCCAAGCAGAGCTGCGCAGCAAGGGCTAGGTTGATAGGTTGAGATGCGCTGCGCAGCAAAGCTATGGTGAGACGCGTTCTGAAACAACACTATGTTCAGATGTGCTGTGCAGCAAGGCTGTGTTCAGATGCGCTGCAAAACGCTCTGTGCAGCAAGGCTATTCTTGAGATGTGCCGTGAATAAAGGCTATGTTGAGATGTACTGCGCAGAAAGTCTATGGTGAAACACGCCGCGGAGCAAGGCTATGCTGAGATGCGCTGCGCCGTGCTATGCTGACTGGGTGCAAAGCAGAAGTGTTTGGAGCACAGATTTGCACAGCAGGGCTGCGAGAGCTGGACTGAACTGGGCAGAGCTCGGCTGTGCAGAGCTGCGCTGTGCAGAGCAAAAGCTGCGCAAAGCTGTGCGGTGCAGAGCTGTGAAGGGCAGGCGACGCAAGCAGAGCAACCCTTTTTCCAAAGAACCCTTCGCTACGCTTTCGGAAAACATGTTTAGCGGAACCTCCTATTGTGGGACTCCGGACTCCTTGTTTGGCTTCCAACATTCAAAGAAGGGCGGCCCCAATGCAAGACATATGGCGGAAGTAGGGAGCAAGTTGGAACCCTGTAAGTCACCGCGTTCTTCGCTGGATGTGGTTGGTTCACTTGCCATGTCCTTGGGAATCAGCTACCACCGGCTTTCAGGACGTGCCGGTTCCAAGGCAGGCGCTGTTCAGGTGGCAAGTCAGGCGCCCGTCCAGGGTGAAAATCATGAGGCCAGTGGTGCACCTCACAGAGTGTTCAAAAGGGAAACCAAAAGGAAGCCATCCATTTCGCGGGAGTCTTCCAACTTGTGGATTTGGATCCCACCGGTTTTTGGAGCTTTGAAGTGCCATCTCAGAGTTTGGGATAGGGTTTGGCTTCCCCTTTTCTGGTTGAAAAGCAAGGGATCTCCTTCTGAGGGCTGCTCCCTTGGGGGGGTGCGTTAGCTTCCTCTCAGCCTGAGAGGCGAGGGGAAGGTGAGGCGTCCGATTTGGCGTTGATCCAAGAGGACCCTCAAAGTGGTCTGCGTTGGTCTTTGACTCAACCCACTCCAAAAAGTTAAACAGTTGCGGTCATTGTCCGAAATGTTCAAAGGGTAAAGGGCGAACTAAACAAAGAGCAAACAAGTGGTGGTGACCCGGAAATCTACTCAAATGTCAATTTGAGAGGCTCCCAAGATGTGACCCGGCAAGAGTCCTACCCCCTGCAAGAAAGTAGCACCCTTTCTTGGCGGAAAGGGAAAGTCAAGCCCAATATGGGGGTGGTTAAAAAGGCGTTGGCCAAGTCCGGCACACATGAAAGTGACAAGGCCCAATGTTTCAAAGGAAAGTCGACTTCCAAAAGGAAGTCAGCTGCAAAAATTGAAAGAACTGCCAACGATGGCAGCTGATCGATGGGCTGTTTTGTCCTCGAATCCTGGCGATCCTGGCGGGTTGGTTGGAAAAGTCTAGAGTTGCTGCTCACCTACGCTCCAAACAGCGAAGGCTTCGCAGGTGCAGCTCAAAAGTGCTGGGAAAAGCCGGGCTTCAGTCACTTCAGTCAAGTGTTTTCTGGTGGTTCAGAAAGGAAACCAAAGGCCGACGGCAGAAAGGTCAAGGCTCAGAACCTTTCTGGGGGAACACTGCCTTTCCTGCTGGCTATGCTCATCTAACTTAATCCCCTGTGTGCTTCATTTCCAGACTCGGTCGGCGCAAACAGGGCCAAACCTCCTATTTACAATGCAAATGTCTCCATTAATTTCATTTGGAGGTATGCCAAACTCTCCAACAACATGATCAAAGAACTGGGTCGGGTTTTCCTTGCAACAGGGCAACCCAACTATTCAATGGAAGCCCGACATTCTTCGTTTACCCTCTTTGAAAGTGCTTATGATTCTTCCTGGGGCGGAACCAAAGAGTCAACCAACATCAGGGTAGACCCCAACAAATAGCGACAAATCCTCTTTTGGGTTAACGGGGTGAGGCGCCTCCTTAGGTAGAGGAAAAAGTGGCTCGATGTCTGCAGCGTTTTAGTCCTGGTGAAAACAAAAGCAACAATAATCCTTCTGATTTACCCTCCCAGAAGCAAACATGAAAGAGCACGAGGCCCTTTGCAGAAAGGACAGTCGTCTTTCAGAAGGGGCCTGCGCAATTCCGTAACAGGGTTCCAGTTCTGGAGTGCCCAGGGGGTTGCCCCTTGTGGAAACCAGCAAGATGCCCCTCGCACCCGCATGGGGGGGTCCCTTGAGGATAAAGTTATCCCTCAAGGTGCCATCAGTGCCATCCCTCGGTTTTCCGTCAGCAGGACTATCAAAAGGTAACGCGCTCCCTCCCCCACACGCTCGCATCATGCCGCGCACCTGCCTGTCCAGTTGCCCTACAGGTTTGGGCGGCGCAGCAGCACACATCCTCAAAAGGCACAGGGGGCCCGAGACGCGATTCACGCTCGGAAAAGGGGTGCTTTGTGGCTTTTCCTGACATGAGCCACGGAAACACTTGGGTTGCCCAGAATTTGGGTAGCCGCCAGGCCAACGATGACAGACAAGACTTCTGTCAGTTGCTCAAATCATTTGCATAGTGCATGGATGAAATTATGTTTGCTTGGAAAACCAAGCCATGTTGTTGCTCAAGGGATGTCCAGCGCGGATAGCAAGGCCTTCTATTGGAGGCCTCAATAAAGTATTTTCCTTACAAAGGCTTTCTAGAGGGATCCCTGCGCGCAGCGTCGTTTGGTGGACACTCCGGGTCTATGTTGTAGTCTCCAAGACTTCAGGTCGCTAGGGGACGACGGCTAGGGTTGCCATCATGATTCTCCTTTTCATTGCTGGGAATTGGTCAAACCGTACGAAGAACGCACACAGGGGTCCAACTACATTTCCAACCTCTCCCAAGAAACCATAGTTTATTCGTGAGTCCCTCACAAGCCGAAACCCAAACTGACCATGGGCTACTCCCCAAATGAGCATGAATCTAAAATCACCTGCCTTTTTCAGGAGTCTCTTTTTTAAGGGCCCTTGTTTGGGAATCCTATGTGGACATTGTCGTAGCGTCCGTCCCGATTGCCAGGGATTGCCTTTGGCTAATCTGAGCTGGCCAGCAAAAGACTGCAAACAACTCTGTGACCAATTCTGTCAATCTCCTGCAAACAACCCGGACATGTAGTTTGCTGATCTGCTGAACAACATTTGTTTACAGGAGAAACCACTGAGCTCCCTCCAGGCGCCTCCCTCAAGCCTTTCTGGCCTCCGCGTCACTTCGCCCATGCCGCCCTTGGTAAGATCCGTGATCATGGGCCTGCAAGAGCCAAGAGCTCCAAACTCTAAGCGGCTCCCTGGGCGTGGATGTACAATCCACTCGGCCCAGGCTCGGCGCCATGAAAGGCCGAGATTTAGCCGACTCTTCCAGGGCTTTGTAGGAAGGGCATGTGCTGTTGATGAACAGACTCTGCTCTTCCCTTTCAAAAGGGTGTCCCTTGATCATCTGCATTTGCTTTTCGGGAATATGAATGTGCTTCCCCCCTATATCTGCATTGGCTGTTTCTCTTTTTTCATGAACCCAGTTCAGGTCATGAGAACATGCAGACGCCCTCCGGCTTGCCTCCAAAATGGGCTTCCACTTCGCGTCCCTTGAAACCACCTCAACAACTGAGCTTCCTTTTGGTTCCCCTTCAAACACCAACCAACAGGCTGTGCTTCCAATTCCTAATATCTTTTCTCCAACAGGGCATGAGCTTCCCAAAAAGACAAACCCATAACAAGCTGCCTCGTACCTGAAAAGGCCAAACCCAACTACGCCATACCTGGTTGGAACGCGCCCGCGTGTATTTTGTTTGCTTTGCTAATTGTTCGGGGGCGCGATCGAGCAAACCAAAACGGGAACACAATCAACATACACGAGCAACAAACCAAGCAACTGGTAAACCAACCAAACTGCCAAACAAGCAAGCAGGCAAGCAAGCAAGCTGTCCAGCCCAATTCTGTGCCGCGGGCCTAGGCTTGAAGAAGGCGAACACGGGAAGGGCCTCACCGTCGCCTCCGACAACCGAGCTGACACCACGGCTTTCGGCTTGCAGGTTTGTTAGCCCTTTTTCTGCACTACGAACCCAAGGAAAAACCAGCCGTCTTGGGCGCCCAACAAATATTCGCTGAGACAGAGCTGCACGGCCTATCTCTGCCCTACCAAACTCACCTTCAAAAGGATTGGTGCCCCACCAAACATATTGGCAGCGGAGGATTGGTGCCCCCTCCAGAAAGGCAAGTTGTCTTCCAAAACCCTTGGAGTTTGGAGGGTGAGCCTTGGTTTCTGTGAGACAAGGCTGGCAAACGGCACCTTGTTGAACGATGCTGTGGGGTACAGGTGGACCCCGCCAAATTCTAGGGACGACTGCAAATGGTGGGCATTCTCTTGGTCTCCGTTTGGGCACTATCCACAAGGGCACAAAGGGCCCTCTATTTGTTGTAACGCACAAAAGCTGTTTGAGCTCAAGACCTCTTTTCCACCAACCCGCCAAAGCGTTTGGCGGCGTGGGGCATGGTGCAAAGTAGTGGCTTTTCGCTTGGACACGGATGTCAATGGGTGGGGGTTGTTCAGCACTTGCAAGTGTCCCAGTGAAATGCCGTCTTCCTGGAGCTCGTCTTCAGCAGTGCCATCTCCAATATCAGCCGGGGGAGGCGTTCGGCCCATTGTTGCCCTGCTTCGGCTCGCCGCCCGTGCGGTAGTATTCACACAATGAAGATGGTGCACGGAGAACACTCCATACTCGTTCGGTTTGGAACGTGTCATCTGAAGTGATGTGGAAACAGGCACTTCTACATATGTATATATACACACACAAAATGATTTGCATTTAGCTAATGATTTTGCCTGCCATCAAGTATCACGCCTTTGTGCATTGGCAAATCAAATTCCCGCTTCACGCCAAAACCGTTCACTGCAACAGCTTCAAAGTGCTGCTAACCTCCAGTCAGTGTCAGAGATCCAGACATCCCAGCCCATCCGCATCAACCATATATGTTCGACATCCGCTTTCAGGGTTGATCCAAAACTCTAGGACAAGGGCAGAAGTTGCGTCCGAAAGGAAGCCTAACAACGCCAAACCAATATTCTATCCTCTGGGGGGGGGGGGGGAAATGGTAAAAGTAGGGGGCCTGGGGGGTCTGTTGATGGTCCCCTGTTATGTTTTTTATATTCATCTCAAACCTATTAACCACCTTATTCGTTTTTAAAAGAGGGTTTTTAGGGAGCTTATTTATCGTTTTCGTTAAGGTAATCATTTGGGTAAATTGTCGCCTTGTTCATTGTTGGGCTGGGGGCCGACATTTTTTTCATTTGAAAGAGGTAGCCCTTTTAGTAGTTATCAAGTTCTGGGATGTTGGCGGTGCTTTTGTTTTGTTAGTGTTTTTTTCTCACTAATTTTCATTTATAGGTTAAACGTTCAGTATAATTATAACATATAAGATTTTACATGTTATTATTATATTATGATTATAATTTCAGTTCAGGATAATAACTTAATTGATTTGTCTTACTTCTTTCATACATCATTTTAAAAATAATATTGACATCTCTCACTGTATTCTGAACATTAAACTTTTTACTTTCAATAAATAATTTGATATTTTCTTTAACATCTTCCCCTTTCTCTTGACTATAGCCCAACATCCATAATATATAATCAATCATTTCATATTTTTTCTTACTGAATTTAAGAAACTGTTTAACACAATCGTAAGGTGGTATTTTATTTACAGTTAGAAATATTAAAATATCATCTTCTACATTTCTATATGTATTATTTTTATTCCCAACAGACATTTGATTAAAAATTGATTATCTCTCCAAGTTTTACAATTTTTACATATGTCTTCTTCACCATCCATTGAATAATTAATAATATTATTCACTATTTCATTAGGTAAATTCAATTTATACAATTCCATATTTTCTTTTTTGAAGTGACAACAATCATAGCATTTTTTATTGATATAATTATTGATTCCATCACCGTTCATTTTTCTCTTAATATATAAGGTAATATGTCTTTAAGTAGTTTTGGCTAGGGGGTTGCTGGTCGGCTGGTCTGGGTTTCAGGTTTAATTTAAATGTCTTAACCTTCTTGATAGATTATAAAACAATGTTTAATCATATTATAATTAAATATTATGAATAAACAAATAACATCATATTTCATAATTATTAATTGTATGGATTTCAAATTTGATAAAGTCTATCATCACAAGTGGTCTATTGACTAATCTTATTGTACCCTTTATTTCTTTCACCATCTTTTCAATTGTAATTAGGAGTTCTTCTTTACTTTTCAAGGTATATTGATTGGATGGCATATTACATTTTCCAATAACTGAATCATAATTAAGTTTTACTCTAACATGCATTTTAATATTTATTTCATTGCTATATCTTATTAGGTTCATAAACTTTTCTGATGGGTTCAACGCGTAAGAAAACGCCTTATCGCCTTTTAACTTTTTGTTGTGTATCTCGTGGTTATACGTTGTAATTGACTTTTCTGGAGTTTTACGTCGACTGACTACATCATTACTAATAGAAGGTTTCCATTTCCTTTGTAATTCTCTTAAAGCATCACATTGTTTCAGTCTTCGCCACCCTTCACTACCATTAATGTAAGTAGTGATGATTGAAACTAAACCTTCAGGTAAGCTAGCACAATTCTCAACCATAAAATTATTCTCTGACATTTTACCCTCACTCATTTTTCTCTTTATATATAAGATAATATTTCTTTAAGTAGTTTTGGCTAGGGGGTTGCTGGTCGGCTGGTCTGGGTTTCAGGTTTAATTTAAATGTCTTAACCTTCTTGTTACATTATAAAACAATGTTTAATCATATTATAATTAAATATTATGATTAAGCCATGAAATCATTGTTTCTGTTATGTATAAATTTCAAATGTAATATGTTCTATAGTAATGATTTCGTCTCGTTTCATAGTCTGTTTTATTTCTTCAACTATTTTTTCAATATAAAATTGTAATGACGCTCTACTTGTTATCTTGTTCTGTTTGTTTGATGCATAATAACTACAGGGGTTACACCAAACATTATACAACTACAGTAGTGAACTACGACCACTCCCGTAGTGAACTGCGACCACTCCCGTAGTTGGAAACACCACCTAAATTTGTGTTTTTGGGGATGAACTACGACCACCAACGTATTGAACTACACCCACCATTGTAGTGAACTACGTCCACTCATGTAGTTAATGATGACCCCAACCCCCACTTGCGAGTCCTGTTTGTCAGAAGGCACCTCCCTCGGCGACTACAAGGTATCGGGCGGGTGGGTTTTAACAAGTATATCACTAATCAAATCAGTAGGAATTTTGTATAACTCATCTTGTTTATGTTTGATGTATCCCTCTCCCCAACTATCCCTTTTTCCTGAAGGCAACCGTTGTGCTGTTTCAACATGTTTCCCATTCCTAATTTTCCCACAATCCCTTTTACATACAGAAGGGCCCCTCATGGGGGGTGGGTTTTTTAAAAGCATGAAATTTAGCAGTTTTGGGGGTATGTTTCTTTGATGCTTCAAGAAAATCCAAAAAAACTCGAGTTTTCCAAAAAAACAAAAAACAAAATTTCAGACCCTACCTCAGCCAGTATGGATACATAGGGTCTGAAATTTTGGGTTTTTTGTTTTTTTGGAAAACTCGAGGTTTTTTACACTTTTCCAGAAAATTTAAAGAAACCTCGAGTTTTCCAAAAAAAACCAAAAAAAACAAAATTTCAGACCCTAACTCAGCCAGTATGGATACATAGGGTCTGAAATTTTGTTTTTTTGGGTTTTTTTGGAAAACTCGAGGTTTTTTACACTTTTCCAGAAAATCCAAAAAAACCTCGAGTTTTCCAAAAAAAAACAAAAAACCCAAAATTTCAGACCCTAACTCAGCCAGTATGGATACATAGGGTCTGAAATTTTGGGTTTTTTGGTTTTTTTGGAAAACTCGGGGTTTTTTACACTTTTCCAGAAAATCCAAAAAACCTCGAGTTTTCAAAAAAAAAAGAAAAAAACAAAATTTCAGACCCTATGTATCCATGCTGGCTGAGTTAGGGTCTGTTGTTAACAAGAAATGGCCTCGAGCAAACAAAGCCGAACTGTCAGACCCTACCTCAGCCAGCAAGGATACATAAGGTCTGAAATGGTGTTTTTGTTTTTTTGGGGTTTCTCGAGGTTTGCTTGGTTTTGAGGTTGGGGTCAGCAAGAAGAAACAAACATCCGCAAGAAGGAAACATTTGCCATCGCGGCCTGGGCATTTCACTTGCTAAGTGCAACCGAATTCTATTCATATGAATTGAAAGAAGTAGCCAGCTTGTCTTTCCTTGCCATATTATCCAGATTACAGCTAAAATCCAATTACAGTCTTAGATACTTGGAAAGGAAATCCATCTTTATTCTGGTTCAAAACAGTAACACAAATTGAATCAGTTAGAAGACTAAATTCTAGCCATGAACATGTCAAATAAAGATCATATTTGGAAAGAAATTCCCATTTAGATTTGGATGAAATTCCTGTTTACAATGTACTCAATTAAAAATAAGAAAGCAAATAAATATTATTTGGATAAGACCCCATGACACACATCTAAAACTAACAGTTACCCTTCTAATCGGAACCATTGCTTGGAAGGGAAGTGCTGACTAATATCTAATTCGAGAGCATGAAGTGAAGTCTGATCGAAATCCAATTTGAATGTAAGTAATTCCTCGCAATGTAAACCTTGCAAACAAATTGCAATGCAATCAGCTTTTTGCCATGGTTTTTCTAGTTTTTTTCAGAGGCTTGCGTTGCAAATTAGAAGAAACAACAAGCTTATCTTTCTTCAGCAGATTCCCGATTAAAATCCTACTTGGGAAGGGACACCTATTTAAATTCTAATTCAACATACTGTGTTAACTTGAAGGCTAATCAAGATTTGATTCAACCTAAAGCGGTGCAATCTAAAACTTGTAAACCAAAAAATATGACGTTGCATTTCCTTTGAGTTTCTATTGGTTGGTCTCTCCTTTTATGGGGCAGGCAATTCAGAATAAACGGCCAACTTGTCTTTCCATAATCATATAGGGTTCTGTTTGAATTCTAATTCAGTTCTGCTACACACTGCAACAGGAATGACAAGAAAGATGCTAAGAGAATTGCAGCTACGCTGGTAATAGACAAGACACTTTTGGCGACTGGCCTTTCCTTCAACACTGTCTGATAGTGCAATTGACAAGCAATTATGGGCCAATGTTCAAGGTCCAATTGTTTGATGAAGCCTGTTGAAACAGACAAGCAATTTGGGCACAACATCCAAGGTCCACAGCACTAAAAGTGCATTGCCCGTGGGGTTGAAATTTGTGAATCTTACGGGTTTCAAAAACCCACCCCCCATGAGGGGACGCTCTCTTTACATAATGGTCTAGGTTTCCATGATGTTATGTTAGTCCAAAGCCTTGTTCGCTTCCTATAATTCATTCCATATTTGCAATAATCCACATCATAGTATTTCAAGCCACTCATGAAGGGTTGTTCCTTTAATAATCCTGTTTGGGGATTTTCTATTATCCAGCATTTAGGCTTAAAATAATCTATAATTTCAAGGGTTTTTAAAACGATACTATTTGCATAATCAATCTTACGGACACCAGTAGTTTTAGCA